AAACGATTTATTGAAAATAAAGAAAATCACTCGGCCAATTAGGCAAATAGAGCCTTGCATAGTAGTCCGAGAAGTGCGTTCTGGCTACTAGGTACGACATATATATGTCGTACCTAGTAGCCTAGTATATATATATATATATATATATATATATATATATATATATATATATATATATATATATATATATATATATATATATATATATATATATATATATATAATATCACTAAGAACTCTTTGACCCGGCCAGGATTCGAACCCATGCCGTCCAGGATCACCCCTAAACGTACACAGTACCGTGACCACCGCACCAATGATCGTCTATAAGGATTGGTCAGTCTTGGCGCTTATTAACTAAGCTCCCTGACTGACCAACCCCCGACGACACTCATGGATCCATTTGGGTGAAATTTGATGAAAAACTGTACCCAAATGGATCCATGGTGGGGAGGACTAGGGGTCAGGAAAGGTTGCTGTGGCTCAGCAACACACATGCGTTGCTGAGCCACAGCAACGTGTGTCCGGGTCTGCTAATATAAATAAATATGAAAAAATTTATTTTTTCAAAATCGCTAATCTCCGAAAGTTCTTCATCGATTGCTTTCAAATTTTCACACCAGGTTCCATTCGCATCCGAGCGGGTTTTTATATACATACTATATCGATGTCACGTCTGTAACGGGAAAAAACATGTTTTATTTGAAAAACTGTGTTTTTCATGTGAGTGAAATCTACGAAGCCTCTTTACCGATTGCTTCGAAATTTAACACAACGTTGGATTCGAATAGGTGCATGTTTTTATATACCTACTTTATACATGCCTCACCTGTGACAGGAAAAACATGCTATTTTTGAAAAACAGCGCCATCTGTTTGATGTCTTCTTTCTACATTTCGGCAGTTTATCCTGGCATCTCCTCGTCGGGCACTCGTTTTTTTTCATTGTCCACATAATTCTGGGCCTCTCATCCACGAAACATCATGCCGTATCTTGCTCCATAATATCTCGTTGTTCATACAATTCCTTGGTATCTTCTCTGGAAACCTAATAACCGCACATATAAACGCCAATATTCCAAACAAGAGACCTCTTCTCTCGGGGGTTTTCTGGCGTAGGCTATCATCATCTTTGGTATTTCCTCACTCATCTCACTGCATATTTTCATTAGTGTCAACGTAACTTCTTGCATTATTAGCTTATGCCTACCTGCATCCTAACGATACAGGCACTCCCTTGCATATTTACTTTTTTTTTTTTTTTTTTTTTTTTTTTTGAGATATATACAAGAGTTGTTACATTCTTGTACAGCCACTAGTACGCGTAGCGTTTCGGGCAAGTCCTTAATCCTATGGTCCCTGGAATACGATCCCCTGCCGCGAAGAATCGTTTTTTCATCCAAGTACACATTTTACTGTTGCGTTAAACAGAGGCTACAGTTAAGGAATTGCGCCCAGTAAATCCTCCCCGGCCAGGATACGAACCCATGACATAGCGCTCGCGGAACGCCAGGCGAGTGTCTTACCACTACACCACGGAGACTACTTGGTGTTCTTTACCATCTCTGACCAATTTTGTTTTGTTTTTTTATACTTTTGTTATCTGTATTAAATAATATACAAATAAATCAAGGGAAAAAAGGGAAGGGGGTGGAAGGAGAAAAGCACACAGAAACTGTATTGGAGGGGACCTACATTCCCTCCAATGCGTTATGTGTGGTTTCCTCCGAGGCTATGGGTCCCCCTTCTTCCAGCCAGAGGTGGTACTCCCTTCCCTATATAAATCATATATACATCAATTTTACAAGGAAATACTACACCACACACACAGTAGTATAATTCTAATTAAACAAGTGGTTCATATCGTTACAGAGAATGAACTTTAAACCCCTAAATGGTATACTTTTTTCCTTAAATGACTTACAATTTAAAGATTACATTTACATCAATTTACAGGGGGAAATTATTACATTTATGTATATTTCATATTTTCTTGTACTCTGCACAGCGTCTTTCTCACACTCAGGTGTTCCTATGTACATAGTGCATCTCCTCCATTACCGCTTTTCTAATTTGTCGTGGAACCACTGCCTGACGATATTCTAAGCACGTTTTCTCCAACCAAGATCCAAACAGTTTCAACCTGCGCATTAGCACATCATCGTCTAGGTAGAAATACTTAGTACATTTTTTGTGTACTCCATCTCTACCTGCTTCGTTTCTCATCCTCGTAAACCCTCTCTTTTGTGCTTCAATCAACCATTCTACATGTACCTTCTCCCCCTTTTGCCTAATTCATTGGCTCGGCCTCTGTAAACAATTGTTCAATGTCATAATCTTCCTCGTTCTCGCCATTTTTAATTTCAGCTTCTTGGATCCTAATTTTAGTTTCATGATCCATCATTGTCACAAACGTTTCCATTATCATGAGCTACTGTAATTCCTCATAGGTTGTTATTTCCTCCGTACACAACCATCTCTTGAACCTCTGCTCCAAATCTCTGGCTGTTTCCGATAAGTCCGTCCTGGTGATTTTATCATTTCTCTAAACCTTTTCCTATAAGTTTCAGGTGTAATCGTAAATGATCTTGAGACGCTATTCTTCACTATCTCATAATCTTGGCACTCATCCAAGTTCATTTGATAATATCTTCTCGCTGCTCCTGTTAGCCTTGTCTGCACCAATTGGGTCCAATCTTCTATTGGCCATTTCTTCAAGCACATTGTTGTCTCAAAATGGCAAAACATTTATTCAGCGTCTTCTGGAACAAAGACGGGCAGGTCTTTTTCCCCTGGCCCTGCTATCATCTCTATGGTGCACTAGTGCTGGAGTCTTGGGAATCCCTCTTTCCATTTTCTGGTCAGCAAGCCAAGCATTAACATCTAATTCCATTTGTTTTGCCTTAAGATATGCTCTGGTTTTCCCTCGGTTAGCCTCAATTCTGTTTTTTTTCCTTCTCATCCTGCAATCCGTCTTCTTTGTTGGAATTGTCTCTCATCACTTTCACGTTGTAATTATCTTTCTTCTTTTTTACATGGTGCTTGTAACTCCTCTCGCTTCAGCTCTGTGTCGATCTTGAACCTCTCAAGACTGTTCTTCTTACTGCTCCTCCTTGAGGACTGCGACGAATCTTTTTTATTTTATTTATATATATACATCGTCATTATCATCATCCGGGGCTCCATTGTCTCTCCTGTTGCCCCTCCTGCCCCTTGAGCTGCGTCTTCCTTTAAGTCTCCATAAGGTATCTTTAAGCGCTTCTTTCAAGCCTGGCACCTTGGCCGAAGTCTGTGTAATTCTGTATTTTTCTGCAATTATCTCCAATTGATCCCTGGTACAATTCTCCAAAATTTTATAATCCCCCAGTATACGAATATGCCTGAATTTTCTTCATTTTAATCCCCCGCAAGGGGATGGATTAAAATGGAGAACATTCTCCATTTTAAAGGGTCTGACAGACTAATTAGCCGCAATGTGAACGTTCAGCTCTCGGACCAAGGCCCTCAAATGTTGGGTCAGAACACAGCTCACTCCCGACAGTTCTACCTGTTAATGACAGCACCTGGAGCATGTTCAAACGTCTGTAACTCACCCTGGACACGCAACAGGAATCCTCTGCCACTACAAGCACAGACGTATCATTCGTATATATACAAAGATTAAGCTTCATATCTTTAAGAGTTCTGGGCAGAACAATTTGGACATGCACTTTCACAACCAAACACAACGGCTCCTGAAACACGACAGAAAGGGCCATGGGATGTGGACATCCCTGCCGTACCGAACATTTAACACAAAACTCTTTACTTAACACCTCATTAATACAAACACAACTACGGCTCTACCGATACAACATGCGAACTCTATCACCAACCCGCCTTGCTACATCCATACAGTCAAGTCCTCGACCAATCCAAGTTTACCAAAGAGTGTGGAAAGTCAGCTTGGATAACTGAACACCACATCACGGACTACATTATTACATTGAACAATCGAGCTCCCAGACACAACACAAAACTGTTCCTCAGAACAGTCTACAGACCGAAACCTGTTCACCAAAAGTTGTGAATAATCTTGTAATGTTCGTTAAGCAGGAAATCAGGTTCCTATTCGTCAGAAAAAGCAAATCACCAGCTTTCAGCAACAACTTATAATGTCCCTAAACCCAAGAGACACTGTTAAACTCTCGTGCTGAAGGTCGTACCGAACACCTTACTACACTCTCGTGCTGAAGGTCGTACCGAACACCTTATTACACTCTCGTGCTGAAGGTCGTACCGAACACCCTGATAAACTATCGTGCTGAAGGTCGTACCAAACACCCTGATAAACTCTCGTGCTGAAGGTCGTACCAAACACCCTGATAAACTCTCGTGCTGAAGGTCGTACCGAAGACCCTACTACACTCTGGTGCTGAAGGTCGTACCGAACAACCCGCTAAACTCTCGTGTCATGGACCTAAGCTAAACCCGGAGGACCTTCTGGCAAGACATCTCCCTGAGCAGGTTATGGGATGCTGTGAAGGAGGCTAAGCCAGGTTAGTAAGACAGTATGTGAAGCCTCGAGGACGCCTCGGCTACTGTGGGTCGTCAAGAGCGTCACTCACAGCTTTCCTACTCACCTAACTATCGTACTCACCTAGCTATCGTACTCACCTAGCTATCATACTCACCTAACTATCATACTCACGTAGCTATCGTACTCACGTAGCTATCGTACTCACCTAGCTATCATACTCACCTAGCTATCGTACTCACCTAGCTATCGTACTCACCAAGCAATCGTACTCACCTAGCTATCGTACTCACCTAGCTATCGTACTCACCTAGCTTGAAGCTGTTGCGGGAAAGAGAACCCCTAAAAAAAGCACCCGGTGATGATACAAAATACACAACCAACATCGATGTCCGTAATCTCGCTTTTGGGCATTTTACACACTATAATTGCCAATCTTTTTGAGTAAAAATAAAAATAAATTCTTCTAAAGGATCAATACCGTCATGCACAATTATAATAATAACAAGACTAGATCAGCCTCCCCCAAGATCCCACGAGGCCCTGACTCAACCTCCTACGACCATTTCCCCGTCCCCATTACTTCCCACCCCGCCGGCTACTATGACACCGGCTCCGTCCTCCCCAACTTCGACAACGGCAATGTCACCCATTACTACGGCAACGGCAGTTGGCCGATGGCGTCTGGCTGTATCAGGTGTACGTTTTGGTACGGCCAGATGACAACAGTCATGAACGAGACGCCAACGGGCATGGGCGAGACGCCAACGGGCATGGGCGAGACGCCAACGGGCATGGGCGAGACGCCAACGGGCATGGGCGAGACGCCATGGGCCTGTGGAGAGACGCCATGGGCCTGGGGAGAGACGCCATGGGCCTGGGGAGAGACGCCATGGGCCTGTGGAGAGACGCCATGGGCCTGTGGAGAGACGCCATGGGCCTGGGGAGAGACGCCATGGGCCTGTGGAGAGACACCATGGGCTTGGGGAGAGACGCCAAGGTCCTGGAGCGAGACGCCAAGGACCTGGAGCGAGACGCCAAGGACCTGGAGCGAGACGCCAAGGACCTGGAGCGAGACGCCAAGGACCTGGAGCGAGACGCCAAGGACCTGGAGCGAGACGCCAAGGTCCTGGAGCGAGACGCCAAGGTCCTGGAGCGAGACGCCAAGGACCTGGAGCGAGACGCCAAGGTCCTGGAGCGAGACGCCAAGGTCCTGGAGCGAGACGCCAAGGTCCTGGAGCGAGACGCCAGGGACATGGAGCGGGACGCCAGAGACCTGGAGAGAGACGCCAGGGACCTGGAGCGAGACGCCAGGGACCTGGAGCGAGACGCCAGGGACCTGGAGCGAGACGCCAGGGACCTGGAGCGAGACGCCAGGGACCTGGAACGAGACGCGAGGGACCTGGAACGAGACGCGAGGGACCTGGAACGAGACGCCAGGGACCTGGAACGAGACGCCAGGGACCTGGAACGAGACGCCAGGGACCTGGAACGAGACGCCAGTGGCCTGGAACGAGACGCCAGTGGCCTGGAACGAGACGCCATCGACCTGGATCGTGACCCCACGGACTTGGATCGTGACCCCACGGACCTGGAACGAGGCGCCATCGACCTGGATCGAGACGCCAGGGACCTGGATCGAGACGCCACGGACCTGGAGCGAGACGCCACGGACCTGGAGGGAGACGCCAAGAACATGGAGCGAGACGCCAAGAACATGGAGCGAGACGCCAAGAACATGGAGCGAGACGCCAAGAACATGGAGCGAGACGCCAAGAACATGGAGCGAAACGCCAAGAACATGGAGCGAGACGCCAAGAACATGGAGCGAGACGTCTGGAACCTGGAACGAGACGTCTGGATCCTGGAACGAGACGTCATGGGCCCCGGGCGAGACACCAGACCCATATTTCGTCTCCTACTACGACAATGGCTCCTCCTCCAACTACGACAATGGCTCCTCCTCCTACTACGACAATGGCTCCTCCTCCTACTAAGACAATGGCTCCTCCTACGACAACGGCCTGGAGTGAGACGGAAACGGACGGGGCTCAGACTCACCAACCATCAAGGGTTGACATGTGACGTCTCACTTTGACTGTGAGAGTCCAGGGGGTGAGGGCCGTCCTGTGAGGGTCGCCATAGCCACTCTCACACCCCTCACCCTTTGTATTGCATGAGTGAGGTCACGAACTATATCCCAGGCGACGTCACGTGATGTTAATTAGGTGATGCCAAGAACTTATCTTCTATACAACAGTGTCTCTTATTCTATATTTTTTTTACCTTTTTTATGGTAAAAAGGTATATGTGATGAGACGAGAGTGTGTGTGTGTGTTGATGAGACGAGAGTGTGTGTGTGTGTTGATGAGACGAGAGTGTGTGTGTGTGTTGATGAGACGAGAGTGTGTGTGTGTGTGTGTGTGTGTATATATATTTATATATATATAATATATATATATATATAATATTAGGGGTACCACCTCTGGTGCAATTGCAGGGACCCACATCCTCGAAGAAGAAAACAAAGAGCATTCAGATCTATATATAGCACTGACGAGTATCTCTTAACTACTTCCTTTGCAACTAGGCAATCCTAAGTTTTTTTTCATATTCACGTTTCTTGTCGATTGCATTGAGTATGCCATTAGTGAGCCAGGGATTATTTAACCTTTTGTCAGTTACTTGCTTGGAGAGGAGAGGACAATGAGTATTGCAAAGGCTTAGAATTTTGGAAAGGAAGAGGCTAGTTAAGGAATTTATATCATGTGTATTATTAAACTCAGATTCCCAGTTTATATTGAGGAGGGCACTGTGAGATTGCCTATTGCTGCTTCACTGTGTAACCTAAAGGTAATTTTCGTGTTAGCTGGTGGTGTTATGGTCATGTTCGCTACAAGGAAGGTAGGATAGTGGTCAGATGTTCAGTCAGTGATTATACCTGAAGTGAGGGGAGCTGTTATGTTGGTCCATATATGATCCTGGGTAGTAGTGGATGTTTGAGTTAATCGGGTGGGCCAGGTGATTGCGGGAATAAGCATACAGGAATTCATGCCGTTAAGGAAATAGTCGACTTGAGAGCTATTTTGTTGCCCTAGATCAATATTGAAAAGGAGAACTTAGTAATAGGAGAAGTAATGGAAGAACTTCGTCATACTAGTTGTGTACTCAAGGAGAGGCTAAATAATACATCAAGAGTAGTAAACAGTGTCTGTTGAGGGATTGTTGAAACTTACGTTGGGGCTCTGATGATCTTATCTCTGTGATTGATCAGGTCTGTGTATTACGATCCCAAACACCTGCATTTCTCACATGATAACTGGAGTGTGGACTCTTAACCATAACTGGGTGTACAGTAGATGTGGTGTACAGTAGTTCCCTCGCTATCCTACAGTTGATCCGTCATCAAGATCAGCTGTACATGAAGCCTGTAAGGTGTGACTAACTGTAAGTACATCCCAGGTTATTGTATTGTGCACAGTCATTTTGGTGGTACAGTAAACCACTCGATCACGGATTGATCAATGTGTGCTCGCAACGAGATCTCTGTGTCAGTTGTCCTAATAGATTGTGAGGGTGTTAATCTGTCTGGTGACAGCTCTTCCTTGGCCTGTCGCTAGTGAGAGTGACAGGTGACGTGTTGTGTGTGTGTGTGTGTGTGTGTGTGTGTGTGTTTACTAGTTGTGTTTTTACGGGGGTTGAGCTTTGCTCTTTCGGCCCGCCTCTCAACTGTCAATCAACTGTTTACTAACTACTACTTTTTTTTTCCCACACCACACACACACACACACACACCCCAGGAAGCAGCCCGTGACAGCTGACTAACTCCCAGGTACCTATTTACTGCTAGGTAACAGGGGCACTTAGGGTGAAAGAAACTTTGCGAGGACCAGCTCCCTTAGCGAGGACTAGGTCTCACAGCGAGGACCAGCTCCCTTAGCGAGGACTAGGTCTCACAGCGAGGACTAGGTCTCACTGCGAGGACCAGCTCCCTTAGCGAGGACTAGGTCTCACAGCGAGGACCAGCTCCCTTAGCGAGGACTAGGTCTCACAGCGAGGACCAGCTCCCTTAGCGAGGACTAGGTCTCACAGCGAGGACTAGGTCTCACTGCGAGGACCAGCTCCCTTAGCGAGGACAAGGTCTCACAGCGAGGACCAGCTCCCTTAGCGAGGACTAGGTCTCACCGCAAGGACCAGCTCCCTTAGCGAGGACTAGGTCTCACAGCGAGGACCAGCTCCCTTAGCGAGGACTAGGTCTCACAGCGAGGACCAGCTCCCTTAGCGAGGACTAGGTCTCACAGCGAGGACCAGCTCCCTTAGCGAGGACTAGGTCTCACAGCGAGGACCAGCTCCCTTAGCGAGGACTAGGTCTCACAGCGAGGACCAGCTCCCTTAGCGAGGACTAGGTCTTACAGCGAGGACCAGCTCCCTTAGCGAGGACTAGGTCTCACAGCGAGAACCAGCTCCCTTAGCGAGGACTAGGTCTCACAGCGAGGACCAGCTCCCTTAGCGAGGACTAGGTCTCACAGCGAGGACCAGCTCTCTTAGCGAGGACTAGGTCTCACAGCGAGGACCAGCTCCCTTAGCGAGGACTAGGTCTCACAGCGAGGACCAGCTCCCTTAGCGAGGACTAGGTCTCACAGCGAGGACCAGCTCCCTTAGCGAGGACCAGCTCCCTTAGCGAGGACCAGCTCCCTTAGCGAGGACTAGGTCTCACAGCGAGGACCAGCTCCCTTAGCGAGGACCAGCTCCCTTAGCGAGGACCAGCTCCCTTAGCGAGGACTAGGTCTCACAGCGAGGACCAGCTCCCTTAGCGAGGACCAGCTCCCTTAGCGAGGACCAGCTCCCTTAGCGAGGACTAGGTCTCACAGCGAGGACCAGACTCTAAGCAATAACTCAAGGAAGGAAATATCCCGAGGAAAAATGCTTCGCCACTCCAGTAGTGACAAATCACCGGCCAGGGAGAAGGGCGTGCGCTGCCTTCAACTCCTGTTTACTCGGCCAGCGTCGCCACACATGACTCGCGGGGAATATTTTCCACTTACAAAATAATTAACGACGTAATAAATATTTGTAATAACATATAACTAAGAGGATTCGTCCTCTGCTCATAAATAATAACTTTATCTAAAATGCGCAGTAGCCAGATTCTTCCTACTTAATCTGGCGCCATAATTCTGCCACAGTCTTCTTCACACTTTGTTATGAGACGACAAAGCTGTCATACCTAACTGTTGATTCTCATTTTTAATCAAAGTGAAGGAAATCAGAGTCAACATTTTAAAGGTCGATGAGATTATTAAAGTAAAATTAATCTTAAGACCAAAAATAATTTAATAACTACACTCCCGACTTGAAAATCTCAAGACTCCCGACTTGAGCGTGAGTCGTGGAAGGAGGAAGCCATCTTGGACCACTCCAGGGACCTCGCCACCACACGCGTTGACAAGCCCAGCACCCACTGGACGATTACGCCTCATTTAGTGGTAGTAGGTCGATCATAAGTCCATGTTCGACGCGCCAGGATTCGACCCATACATGAGGCGATGGAACCTCGGGGTTTCACCACGACTGTGGTTTCTATAGAGAATAATATGATCTGGAGCTCAATAAGGCGAATGGTCCGGTTACCGGAATGTCGACCTAGATAATAAATACGTGAGTGTAAATCAAGTCAACTTTGATCAAGTGTAAACAGCGAGAATATCAACATAAATTGTGTGTCTCTTTCTAACTCTGCACTGTGGGCGGTTGAAGGTCCAGTCGCCGCGCCTCTGGAAGCCTCGCCGCGCCCCTGGAAGCCTTGTCGCGGCCCTGGGAGCATCGCCGCGCCCCTGGAAGCCTCGCCGCGGCCCTGGAAGCCTCGCCGCGGCCCTAGAAGCCTCGCCGTGCCCCTGGAAGCCTCTCCGCCTCCCTGGAAGCCTTGCCGTGCCCCTGGGAACCTCGCTGCGGCCCTGGAAGCCTCGCCGCGGCACTGGAAGCCTCGCCGCGCCCCTGGAAGCCTCGCCACTATCCACGAGACGAGGCTAGACACAGGTCCGGCGTGTATAGAGCTACTGGAGCTTACATGACCATAATTACTACCACCATTATCATGCATCTGACCATTAATTAACCCCATTCAGATAGCACAGGAATTAATTACTACCAAATTAATATGTTCACATCAAACTTGAATAATATTAAACCAGTACAGTTGCTGTTCTGTCTGAACAACATTAACATTATCAACTCACCACAGTTGGAACTGTGTGGGAAATATCTTTACCTATGCTATACAGTCCACTACAAAACTATATAATATACACGCCACTTACAATAATAAATTATATATGTACAATTTTAGCCATATAATTCCATAGTGGCAATGATGTGTTCGGTATGTGTCATGTGTGTGTGTTTGTACATATATTTGTAATCATCATCCATTTTTTAGCCATAATATATAGCGTCAGCGATACCCAAGCACCACCACAGGCAGCAGTCACCCACAGCAGTACCACCACACTCCAGCAGTCACCCACAGGAACCCAAGCACCACCACAGTCAGCAGTCACCCACAGCAGCACCACCACACTCAGCAGTCACCCACAGCAGCACCACCACACTCCAGCAGTCATCCACAGCAGCACCACCACACTCCAGCAGTCATCCACAGCAGCACCACCACACTCCAGCAGTCGCCCACAGCAGCACCACCGCACTCCAGCAGTCACCCACAGCAGCACCACCACACTCCAGCAGTCACCCACAGCAGCACCACCACAGTCAGCAGTCACCCACAGCAGCACCACCACAGTCAGCAGTCACCCACAGCAGCACCACCACACTCAGCAGTCACCCACAGCAGCACCACCACACTCCAGCAGTCACCCACAGCAGCACCACCACACTCCAGCAGTCACCCACAGCAGCACCACCGCACTCCAGCAGTCACCCACAGCAGCACCACCACAGTCAGCAGTCACCCACAGCAGCACCACCACACTCAGCAGTCACCCACAGCAGCACCACCGCACTCCAGCAGTCACCCACAGCAGCACCACCGCACTCCAGCAGTCACCCACAGCAGCACCACCGCACTCCAGCAGTCACCCA